TATGTTTTGTGTTCTCATCTCTGGGTCTCCCACTGCTGCCATGCTCTGAACTTCTTTCTTGTTTCCCTCTCCTCTGTTTCACTCCAATAGGGTGGCTTTCTACAGACCTGTCTGTTCCATTTTTTAAAATTCTTTGTGTGTGTGTGTGTGTATTCTCTGGGGATCATAAACTTGGTCCACTCCCCTGTCCAGGGATCCTCCTGTATTATCTCCACCCAGTCTTTCTTTCTGTCATCTTTCTCCTCTTCCTGCACCCTCTTCTATTCCCAACCGCCCTCTTCTCCCTTTCACCTCTCCTTTTATATCTTCCTCCTTTCCTGCTGAAATAGCTCTTTGTGTGTGTGTGTGTGTATTCTCTGGGGATCATAAACTTGGTCCACTCCCCTGTCCAGGGATCCTCCTGTATTATCTCCACCCAGTCTTTCTTTCTGTCATCTTTCTCCTCTTCCTGCACCCTCTTCTATTCCCAACCGCCCTCTTCTCCCTTTCACCTCTCCTTTTATCTCTTCCTCCTTTCCTGCTGAAATAGTATGCTCTAGTGAATCCTTCTCCTCTTTTCCCTTTGGCCCCTGCTCCTCCAAACATAGTCCCTGTAAGTCTTCTACCAGGGTGGACATGTGTCCCTCTGTGTCGTTGATTGAGGAGATGGGCGGTACACTCTGAGGATTGCCTCTGGAGGTAATCCCAGCCTCACAACAGCCTAAAATAGCTTTTGCCTTTTTTGTAGCCACATTGCACTGGTGGCTCATATTCAGCCTGTGATATATGAGAATTCCAAGATTCTTCTCACTCGCAGTATTGCTGAGCCAGGTATCATCCATCTTGTAACTGTGTGCTTGGTTTCTTCTATATGCGGCTTCTCCTTGAGATTCTAATGGTCTCTTTTTTATAATTCAAAAGTCGTGTGACTTATTCTGCATTTCTGAGGCACACCCTTGATACAATTCCATTGGACTTTGGCATACCCTCTGACACAATAGCAGGTAGCTCACAAGATTAGAAGCCCAGTTTCTGGCATAATTGTGAGGTGGCTGGGGGAAGGTCGATTTCAGGGGCAAAAAAGCATTGTCTAAAGAGCACTGAAGGTTTATAGCCCTTTGGGTACTTATGATAGATCATTACATTGCTCAACACAGCTGGACTCTTTTGAGCTATGTTTACTCCTTGCATTCCTAAAAGAAAAGACAAATCCTTGAAGCCTCTGAACTGGCAGATAAGAATTTTATAGTAAGGTATCTTTTCTTACAAATAGAGTACTATAAATTCTGTAGAGCCACAATATGACAAAGGGGATGGGGGCTGATGTGCCATATGTCAACCATATAGAACTACAAATATTCCTTTAAATGCTGAAAGAATAAGATGTGGTACGGTTTTTTTTTAAGCTTGGGAAATAATCTATTGAAAACTATAGGACTTGTTCATGTGTTAGGCAAGCTGTAGTTTATGTTATGTGGTTAGAGGGGGAGTAACTATGCTAGTATGGAGTTAGCTGCATGTTTCTGCCTATCCAGGGATGGTGAGACAATGAGAAATATTCTGCTGCTGTTACCACCAAATCCAAAATCCTGCCAGGTTCACACTGAATAGCAAAAAAGTAGAGCGGGTGGCTAGAGTGAAAGCAAGTATGCCCGTGCCTGCATTATTTTCATTTCCCCTGTTGGTTCAGCAGTAAGTCAGGCAAACAAGAGGACCCCTCAAGATCAGCCAACATTTCCACACCGGTAAGAAGAAAGCTTCTACAGACAGTTCTTCCCTACTGCCTAGAGACCTGTCCCAACAGTGAGCAGGCAGATCTGCTCCATCCCTATGGCCTAGGATTCTCTCCCAGGGACCATAGGACTGCAGTCATAACCAGAGTTCCTCTCTTTAGTATTTGTGAGACCTGTGGTGTAGTGTGGTTGGAGTGACAAACTACGGCTATGAAGACCAAGATTCGAATCCCCACTTGGCCATGGGAAGTCACTGTGGGAGTGGAACTAGTAAAACTGCTCCTTAAATACCTCAATTACTTGACAGTCCTATTAGATTCACAATAAGTCAATTCCAACTGCATGGCACATAACTAACCAACTAGATGGTATCGCTGTTATAGGCCTGATCTTGGTAGAGCAACCTGTTATGTGTGGCCATGTCTATAGAGTAGGTTCTTTCTTCTCTTCTCCTTCAGTTGTGATCTCCCCCCCGGTTAGGTGAGTTATCACTCTTCTCCTTCAGTTGTGATCTCCCCCCTGGTTAGGTGAGTTATCACTCCTCTAACCCATAGACCTTTCCGTGTCTAAGAATTTATTATGCACTGAGGTCTAACTCTGGTGGCAGATCAGGCATGTCTACTGGGGTTTCTGGGAGTTGCAGTTCAAAAGCATCTGAGTAACAAAGGTTAAGAACCACTGCTCTAACCCATAGACCTTTCAGTGTCTGAGAATTTATTATGCACTGAGGTCTAACTCTGGTGGCAGATCAGGCATGTCTTCTCAGAAAGCAGAGCTGGAACTTTGGAAAGGTTTTCCAGGATCTCTCACTGGCAGAGATCCTGGGAAACCACTCAGCTAAATGGATTATTTATCTATCTCCCTGTGAGGTACCCCATTCGAATCTGGCTAATTTCCATTTATTTTAGTTCAACTCATGATTTGCAGAAAGCCTAGCAGCTCTACCAGTGAGTATTTCAACTACCTGTGAAGTAAAATACAGTAGAACATAATTTAGACTCCCAAATTATGGTCTTGCTCTTTTTAATAGCTAAGACACTCAGCAGCCTATCTATAACCCAAATCTCACTGGAGTTTTCCATGAGCAGACAGCTTATCTTTATGGTCAGAATCTGTTCTTTGTTTAGGCAACAGGAGGTCATTTTGGTCAAGGATGTGCTTCAGTGTGGTCCTCACAGTTTTTCCACACCTATAGACTGTTGGAAGAATTGTTTTTTTTAATGTAATTCTTCTCTCTAGTATTTCTGGAGCCTAGAGAGAAGTAGTGCATTATTAATTAAATGCACTACTTTATTCAGTAGTGCATTTAATTCTCATTGTGTTGAATAGGGCACCTGCAAAAAGCAAGTACCATTGTGTTGCACAGAGAACTTCCTAGAAAAGAAACTTGACCTGCCTTCAGGGGTTTCATTCAGACTTGCTGCCTTGGGAAGGCACATTTAGATTTTGCAGCCCAGAAATTAGGTCTACAGCAAAACTGAAATATGTTTATATTGTATGTGCCTGTATTGAATGGCCTGTTCCCTGTATCCAAGCCATTCCTGGTCTGCCTTTTGCCCATTTAATTTAAACAATGCATATGTGGAATCTGGGGGGGGGGAGGGCCCCATACTCACACATACCAATTGCATGATCAAGATCACAACAATCACAACATTCTTGCATTTGGCTTCTTTCCCTTTGTGAACAACATGATTTATGGGGGAGGGATATACTTCCCCCTCCATTATTTTACAGACAAAATAATAACTGAGACGAAGTTTCTGCCTAGACTTTAGAGTCAATGCAATTTCACCAAGTGAAATCGCTCAACAAACAACATTATCACAGTTGCAGAACTTTCTTTTAAACTTCCCATTATGGGAGTTGTGGTTTTAAAAAGAGATGACTCTGAGAAGACTGTGGTGGGTTATTCTTGGCACTGTTCAAAGTAATTGTATACGGGAAGAAATGTATCTTGGCTTCTGATGTCGTCATGCCCTTACCATTGGACAATTTGATGGATGCCCTCCTTACATGAGTAGACAATTGTACTGTGTTACAGTGACCAGATGGTGACATGTGACAGCTAATGCCACAGAAGTGGAGTGACCTTCATAGTCTAGTGGTGGCTCTTCCATATAACTGGCTTGAAGTAGCTGGGAAAAAGCTGATACAGAATTAAGAGGTGGGGGAGACGTCAATATTCTGATTTAAGACTCAGGCAAAGATCAAACAAAGAAAGAGCATGTAAATGTGAGGGGAAAAAATTTTCTACTACCCTTACAGAAAGCACTGCCACAGGGTACTAGAACACATTTATATCACACCATGGGTTCATTTCAGTACTGCCACAACAGTGGGGCAAGTGCTAGTAGATGGTGAGAATACTCCTCTGTTTCCCTTTAACTATTAAAGAAAGCAGCTAATAGAGTTACTATCACTGAATACTACAGCAGATGCAGCATGCATCTATCTATCTATCTATCTATCTATCTATCTATCTATCTATCTATCTATCTATCTATCTATCTATCTATCTATCTATCTATCTATCTATCTATCTATCTATCTATCTATCTATCTGGGATGCAGAGAGAACCATCAAATATATTCTGCTATATTGTTATCTCACTTGTTCCTTTGTATTTAAGATCAAAAGACAGTCAGGATTAAGAAAGCCCAAAATGAAGGGCCAGTTTCTTTTCACAGCATCGAGAAGAACTATACTGTGCAAGGTGCATTAATCAGTAATCTTGTACCTACTTTTTAGTACGGCTTTTTATTTAATAAAATATCTCATTTTCTTCTCAATCAGCTCCTGTTTTCCCTGGAGAAACAGTGTCTCAATACAAAGGCTGAATTTGTACAGCCACCCATTGATACCTCCTACTTTGTTTTGCAGGATGGTGATGGAGGGATATTTGTGAATGCTTCCCCCCCTTTTATAGTCACACATTTTTCAGGGCTAAAGGGTTAAGACGTTCCTTACTTAGGCGGATAAGGGTCCAGTGTCACCAGCACAGAGTTTCAGCGGAAACAAAACTGAATGTCATATTGTGCGGCTACCCTTTTGAGGCTGCAATGTCCCTTTGCCAAGTTTTCAAACACAACTTGAAAAGACCCTTACACATTTTCACATCCCTCTCCTCAGAGAAAAGCCTGTTCTTCTCCCCTCCCTAAATTTGCGGGGTTGAACTGGGGGGTCTAGTCCAACCAGCACTGTTGACATGGTGGCCTGATCCAATCAGACTGAAAGTCTCCCCCCTCCCAGCTCTCCCCCTCCTTCTCAAAAGAGCAGGGGGGAAAGCTTGGGAGGAGTCTGCAGTCTTTGGTACTTTCAGGTTTGCATGCTTCTTCTCCCAGTAAAGAAGGGGTTGAGCAGGAGCGAAGGCACAGGGATTTAACAAAGTACCAGGAATCAACGCAGCTACTCACACAGCAATTTCAGTCCAGTTACTCAACATATCCAACTGCTGAAGATGGTCGAGGCATTTTGTGCTACTTGGAAGCTGATTGACAGCCAGAACTTTGATGAGTATATGAAGGCACTGGGTAAGTACAAGGAGATGCCTAAAATCATCATCTCTGTGGTCAGATTCTGAACCTTTATTTTTAGCATAATTATAACCACCAGAAAGTTTAGAACCTGCATTCTTGCAGAGACATTGGTACATGTCTCTAACACAAAATCTAGATCTGTCTGAACTAATTCACAATCCAGTTACACCCAAAAGTTGGTTTCATTAAACTTTACATGATTGACTTAGAATTAAGTGTAAAATCTAATGCATGCATGCTTGTGAGTTTCATTAAACCCATGTGCACTTGCTTCAGAGTAAGAATATTTAGAATCAGGATATAGACATAGGGCCACATTTGTAGTATTAATTGAATAGATCATCCTTACAAATCAATGTTCTGAGGACTCAAAGGGCTAAATTCAATTTCGTCCCACTTAGGGGTGGCATATTGAAGTTAATGGCAGATTAGTGAACACTGACACAAGCCCCATTCATTTCAATGGGTCTCCACTGGTTGAAGCAAAAATTACATTTTCCTTTAGCACAACAATTCACAGTACAGTATGATCCTAAACTCACTTACTTTAAAGTTGTGTTTAAACTATCCTTTAAAAATAAAATAAAAGAATGTCTGAAATGCCACTTTGTTTAAACATCCTAACTGAAGTGGAAAGCAAAGTCTTTTCTAATACGTATAATAGGTATTGTTTGCATGCATGGGGACTGTTTTGTGTGAGAGTTTTAAGAGTGTCTGAGACAAAATGCATTGCTCAGATCTGTAAATAACTATGTGTGTTTCTGATATACATTGCATTAACAAAGGCAGATACAAATCCAGACTAAAAAAAAGTAATCTGTAAATTAAAAAATGGTAGGATGCTGAAAAAAAAAAAGAAGCAGAAGAAATATGAGGGTTTTTTTTGAGTAAAATATGTGACTGAATTCTTTTCGCTATCTCTAAATGTCTGAATACAACATACAAAATAGTTCAGTCACACATCTTTTTCATTTATTAATTTTATTTTTTAAAAAAATCTTAGGAGTTGGCTATGCAACTCGCCAAGTGGGGAATGTTACCAAACCAACTGTGATCATCAGCCAGGAGGGAGAGAAGGTGATGATCAAGACCCAGAGTACCTTCAAGAACACTGAAATCAGCTTCAAGCTGGGAGAAGAATTTGATGAAACTACAGCAGATGACAGGAACTGCAAAGTAAGCAAGAAGCATGTCATGCTGCTACAGCAAACTTTTAAATATTATGTTAGGTTGCTTTTCTCATCATTGTCCAGATGAAAATATGAGGGTTTTTGTTTTTTGTTTTTGGGGGAGTTGCAGGGGAGGTCTGTATATTTTTATGGGAATCATAAGAACTTCTTCAAGAAAGAAGTGATGTTTGAAATTCATCTTATTAATCAGCATGTTCTGAGAAGGAAAATAGATTTTTAAACAGAATTGTTTGGCTGTTTAAGTTAGGATGCTGAACATACTTATACTCTGAATATTTATTCAAGGCATTTAAGACTGGCTTCTAGGAGAGGCCCCAACATCATCCTCTCTATATATCAGATGCTTCTGGGAAGAAGAGGAGGGTGTGGTGATTCTTTAAAAAAATCATTGGCCTTATTATGCCATACTCCATTGCTATTTCTGGACCACAATCAAATTGCTATCCAGGAATTTTCTTGATAATAGTGGGCCTTGGTTCTGTTCCAGAGATATTCCTTGTTCCCTGACCATCAGCCATGCTTCTGGCTTATCTCCTTGTTAGGTGGAGAACTCTGCCATGATGTTTTGCAACACACTTTGGCATGAAGAATTTCACCCTGAAGAATGTTTAATTCATGCACTGTATTATCTAAGATTCCATAATAAACATGGAATCCAATTCACTGGAAATGTGGAACCTTAACCAGATCAGGTAGACATTCTTGTCCGAGTATGCATGATATAAAATGCATGCTGTTTTATCAAGGAACACGAACAAGAACAAATTTATTTACTTTAGTTGTTTAAAATACGGTATAATAACAACAGCAACAACATTAGAACTGCAGAGCTGGAAGGGACCCTATTTTGAAAGGTGATATTAAAAAGTTCATTATTTTCAAATTAATGATCAACTAGCATCTGTTTCAGAGATTTAAATATGCTTCTAACTGTCCTATTAATAACCAAGGTATTTTGAAATTGCTTCACTGATTGAAATCCTGTTCCTTAATGTAGTAAGTTGCACTAGAGCAGGCCCATTGAATCAATAAGGATTTGGTGAGTCAACTCCTCTGTAAGTTCAGTTGATTGAAATGGGTCTACTCTAATTGCAACTAGAATAGGGCAGAATTCTTATTCAAAAGTTGACTCACCAAATCCACACTGATTCAATGGGCCTATTCTAGTGCAACTTACTAGACTAAGGAACATGATTTCAACCACTATGTCTACATTGTGCTAGAAATTATTTGTGTAATTACTTGTAATGTATATTGCAATTTTATGTAAAAACTCTGGTGTGTTTTTATGCCTATAGTCTGTGGTGACCATGGATGGAGATAAATTAGTTCATGTACAGAAATGGGACGGCAAAGAAACAAGCTTTGTTAGAGAAATTAAAGATGGTAAAATGATAATGGTAAGTAAAAAAAAAGTTTCTTGAGATCTCATATCTTCAGTTTATTACATCTCAAACATTTTGGTAGGCTTTTTATTTTGTATTGAGCAATTACAATTTTTGAAGCATGTTTAGCAACACAGTCGTCTGTGGTTGATTCATAATGATAACACACTGTGGTAATGATTTCAGCCAAAAGCCTGTTGGGCATGTTTACCTGCACAATTGGAATGATAGCAGTATCAGTGGCAAATTACCACCGATTAAATATTTATTACTATGATTTATTGGGTAGTTTTGTGTGTGAACCATGGGCACCCTGCAATGGAAAATGGAAGTTTTAATCAGCAGAATTCTCCCACTGCTGATAACATAATTCCTGTTGTGCAGGCAGAGTTGAGCAACAGGATTTTGGTGATTGTGTGTTTAAATTTTGTTAAAATACAGTCTCTGATATATAGCCATCTTAATACTCAAATGCAATTCCAATTCAAGTAATCTCATATGGGCAAAAAAAAAAAAAATCATGCTCAGAGAATGAAATTACTCTTCTTTCTTCCCTGGAAATCAAATGAATGTGTTTTTTTAGCATATTCCTGAAGAATCTAAGTGCCACATCTCTGTAAGGGTGATGAATAATGACATACCAGCACAATGCATTTAGTAGAAACACTTACTATTTTGACCTGGGACAAAATGAGGAAAAAATGTGCTGTTTTTCAGTATTGCTTAAATAGAGCCAAAACTACATATGGAGAGCAAGCACCAGTAACACTAAGAACACACCTCTCCCAGTTCTCAGAGCATTTTGCAAGAATTTCTTTAAAATCTGCTTTGGCAGATTCTCCTCCAGTTACTGCTTTATAAAGTTATCATGCAGGATGTGAAAATGCCATTTTGTTGTGTGCAACAGATGCTCAATATTACAGAGGAGAACATAACACGGTAGATGATGGGCAAGTGTCAGCTGGCAATGTTTCTTCTATAGCTAGTTGTTACCTACTGACATGATACTGAAGACATTTTCTAGACATTGTGAAAATTTTCTACAAATATAAAATTCTGTAATAGTGACTTCTTGAAGAATCTCAGACTTCATAGGCCCTTTGCATTGTGTCCAATAAGTACATATTCTAATTGTTCCATTTCTAACTGCCTTTACAGACCCTCACCTTTGGTGATATTGTTTCTGTTCGCCAGTACGAAAAGGCATAATCTTTGTTGATGAATACTTCTGGATGAAATGAAGAACTGTTTTGTCGCTAAAATGATAATTGAAAATGACATGGAAGGAAAACTAAGTGCTAGTTTGTTTTTTAACTGTATGCCTCCAATTTAGTAAACTGTGAATTGCTGCAAGTAAAACTTTTCAATAAAACTTTGAAACTCCTGTGTGCATTAATATTGGATATTTTATTACATACAAATCAAGTTATTTTCTTGTTCACACTATACCAGTGATTCCCAACCTTAGGTCCTCAGATGTTCTTGGACCAAAATTCCCAAAAAGCCCGGCCAGCACACCTAGTGGTGAAGGATTGGGAGAATTTTAGTCCAAGAACATCTGAGGACCCAAGGTTGGGAACCACTGCACTATACCAATGGTGTAGTGATTCAATGAAAATAATTTCAGTAGGTTAGTTCTACTGACATTTTCAATGCTGGAAAACAATACTATAAATTATGTTTCATAGGACCCAAGGTTGGGAACCACTGCACTATACCAATGGTGTAGTGATTCAATGAAAATAATTTCAGTACGTTAGTTCTACTGACAATACTATAAATTATGTTTCATGCACATAAAAGATTCCCCTCCATCTCTCTCACACATTTTTGTTACCCACCAACATTCTTTCTCTTACATGTGTGCATAAATTAGTGCTTCTAGCCTAGTTCCCCATACCTCTTCATAGATCATTATTCCTCTGTGTGTTTCCATTTGTCTTCTGCAGCATTGTCCCTCTTTTTAGTGGTTGGCGGCAGCCATGGTGGTGATGTCTACGGCATCCTCAAAGTCTTCCTACATGATGTCTCCAGTGAGCTACTGGGTGGGAAGACCTGTGAAGACTGTGTCACACTGCTTGACTTCTTATGACAAGGAGATTAATCTTCTAGCTTGATAGTAACAGGAGGACATGAGTAAGCCATCCCCAGGGTATCTTTGGTAAATGGACACTATTTGCCCAGTCACTCAAGACTTAGCAAAAAAGTTCTTGGCCCAAAGTTTCACATTCTTTAAGACAATGTCTCATTTTGTAAGGCCCATAACTAATGTGTCTTGTGGCTAAGGTTGCATGACCAAAAATTATAAGCACAGCTCTCATGCACAGTGATCTGAGTAGAACTCGAGGGATTATTTTGATCCCTTGCTGATTTTTGTAATGGTATGTAGTCTCTACTCTTAGCATCAATGGCAGTTGTAGCCATGAAACTAATGTGTCTTGTGGCTAAGGTTGCATGACCAAAAATTATAAGCACATCTCTCATGCACAGTGATCTGAGTAATTCTTTATTGTGGTGCTAACTTCATGAGGCAAACTAAAAAGGCCCAAAATATGTGGAAGCTTTCAAGTTTGTCTAATTCCTTCATCAGAAAATATGCCCCCCCTGAAAAGGTGGCAAAACCCTCAGACCACCTAACACTTTAAATTATTTTTGTTCAATCCGTATTGAACTTTTTTGGATGATGCTCACTGTTATTTATAAATTATAAATTATCCATGATGGATCTCTCATATATAGAGACACAAGGTTAAAATTATCCATGACAAACAAACAGTGATTTCCCAGAAGTTACAATTGCAAAATTATTCCATACGGAGTTGTATACATCTACCCAACTTGTACAAAGGCTAGGGTGAACTGCTGGGCTCTGTGATTGTGCCCACTAATGAGTGCAACTCTGATAATAAAGATACCTGTTTGTCTGCAGCCTGGTTCAGATTAGCTTTTCCATCATGCGGTATTCCACCACATACACAACTGCAAAACGAATAATAGCTGTGTTGGCTATTATAAGCTGTAAGAAATGTTAAGTATTCTGGAAACTGACAGGATCTCAAAACTTGTGACACTTGAAAGTAATTCCATATTAGTCAGTTTTAATGTTCCAGGCAAGGATCAATTCAGTTCAGATAACTTCAACAACAACAGATACCACCTTTATTCCAAAGCAAAACCTCACTTTGGGAAAATCCAAAGCTCTATTTTATCTCCTCACTGATTATCTTGGAAAAATAGACTATAAAATTCGGACAAATAAATTCTATTGATGCTGTGCTAAGTGCCTTTAAATTTGAAGGCTTTCTTTTTTAAAAAAGGTAATATCTGCAGTTTAAAAAGAAATGTCTTGGAAGATTTAATTGAAATTCAGAAGTGCCAGGAAAACCTTTAAAGTGTGTGTGTGGCGGGGATCAGAAACAAGTTGTCTCTCTTCTCCCATTTTGTATAACATGTTTGTATGAATATGCCAGATATCAGACATATTGCTACTCCTAAATCAGATTCTTTAAAAAAAATCATAAGTATCAATGCAGCAATTAAGGAGCTACAATAAATTACAATGAGATTAAAGACTTGTGGGGAAGGAAGAACAAATTACAAGTTGCCAGCATAGACCTGCTTCACTCTTGTTTCACTTCATTGATTACTACAGTAACATATTGGCAGTGTTTGTATTTCAGCGTATTGCACAATATCCATTCTAGCTACTACTAGTATTAATGAGATTAATTTTTTATGTAATAGATTTTCATTTGCACCAGTTAAAGAGGACGAAGGGCAATTCCTATACTCCTAGTATCCAATACTGAGCACAAGACAATTCTCTAATTCCTATAACCTTATTCATTTGTCCTAGGAACTGGTACAGCTCAACAGGTTGGGAGTGCCTGGCCATGGACCTGGGGCTGGGTGTTAAAAACCTTGCTATGCAGCAGATAGACCAGTTGAGATCTCTCAGAGTGCATGTGCCTGAAGGAGGCTGTGCGCATGCTTCACAGTCCCAGGATACCACCAGTAGAAGCAATTGGTAAACCCCATCTTCATACCCAGAAAGCCTGGGAAGGATCACCATGAATTGGAACTGATAAGACAGCACATAGTAATTATATGCAGGCCCTGGGTTGCTCAACATGCCAGGAGAGGAATGTCTAGTCCCACCCTCTCCATTACAACTTTCTTCACTGATTAATATGAAGAGGAAAAATTCTTGGTTTTGCATAGACACTCTCTTCACATGAGCAACAGCTCTGGAAAATCCAGGTTGTTGCTTATGTAAAGAGTCTCCAGGCAAATAAGGACTGTTCCTTCTCAGACTCCTCGTCACTGCATGGAGAAAATGATGGGGGGAGCAGCAGTTAGGCCCTCCTTCACTCACAGAGCTCAGGTCTTGAGGTGGCTAAGTGATCGGGCCACTGCCCTGTGGAACTTACAGCACAGGTTTGAGTCCTTGGACCTCTCTTTTCTTCTGATATGACTGGTTTTGTTGTTGCTGCTGCCGGCCAATAAAAAGATGTGCAACCAGAATTACCCCTTCTCTCTTGTGCCACTCAAGCTGCCTTCTCTTGTTTTCAGCCCATTTTCTGAAACACTACAAAAAACTGCTGTGCAACTGTGAGCTTGTCTCTATCCCTTTCCTTGGCTAAGTCACACTTGAAAAATGTTTCCTGGTCATTCCTCATGAATTTTGAATATTTTTTTATATTCAGACAATGCATGGCCATTACAGAATCTTTTGCTCCCCCTCCGTGCTATCGCTGAATCAAATCCAGCCTGCTGGGAGACTACTAGTACATTTGTTCCATGTTTCATAATGCATTACATCTGCAATTCCATCATGTATGAACTACTAAACTGATTGTTTCTCATTAAAACTGGTGTGCGGTCAACATACCCCCTCACTGTCATTAAAGTCCCTTTATTATTTTATTTTATTTTTTCAAATTGTAGTGTCAGTGTGTTGGAATGTCAGTCAAAGACTGGTTTAGTACTCAAGGTAGGGGGTTCCTAGCATGTCACCCACTGCATGTGCTCCCCACACTCCCCACCATTGATGGTAACACACTGTGGAAACAGGAGATAATGGCCCAGATCAGTACGTGGCCGCAAGGGCATTTTGCTGACACATTGATGTACTTACACATTTTTTTAAAGGGAGGGGAGAATGGGCAGAGAAGCACACAAAAAGAGGAATGGGTTTGTCCTGCTGCAGGGGTGTAGACAAACGTTCCACATATAATTTATCTAAAAATGTGGAATGGATTAAAAAAAAGTATGAACCACTATAACGAGATAAATTTCATGTGATTGCAATGCATGACTCTACAGGAAGCAGAAGATGCAAGAAAGCAGGGGAAAATTTCCCTTGTTATGTATTCTAGCCCCTCTTTTCATTGATTCATTCATTCAACTTCTAAACTACCTCATTAGTGTAAACACTCTCTGGGTAGCTTACAACACATCAAGTCATTCTTACAAGTAAACAATACATAATTACAATTAAACACTACATGATTACAATATGCAATAAGTACAATAAAACCCTTGTCACTACCTAAATAAACCTGCATTTAAATAGATTTAAACAAATCTGAACATCTGAGGACAATTATCAGAAACTAACCTTGTACTGCCCTCTATTTCCTCCCCAGATAATCCTGCTACATTCCCCATGACATTAACTTCAGATTATTTATTACATTTTATACAGACTTGTGCCTTCCATCAAAATTCTAAAGGTGTAGTTATAGGCAGCAATTGCCTTAAACTATGAAGTGGTTGTATTTTGAGGTATTTTGCATTTTGACCTGCCTATGCCTTAAACTATGAAGTGGTTGTATTTTGGGGTTTTTTGCATTTCTGTTGGAATGTACCCAAGAATTCTCCTGAATAAAAGGTTCAGTTTCCTTGTTCTAATTTAGACATTTTCTCCTCTCAGGCCAAACAAGTAGATCATGATATGATGGGCATCTAGTTGTATCTACACAACAGTCAAGTGTGACCTATCAGTCAGGTGTTCCCTGATTCCAAATATTACCACTGGTATTCACTCACTTATTGGCCCTTATACAAACCCGTATCTTTCAGCTTCAATCTGACTTGCGACTCATAGGCTGGAATCCTGTTGCACAGTTATGCAGCCAGTGTAATTTCTAGATGTTAATTGCATCTGCTAATTGCTAATAATTATCCCTTGCATACACAGTCACAGAACTCAGTATGATACAGTTAATGTATATTGAGGTATCTTAATTTACGGCAGTTTGCTTCCAAAAGTTACACAGTTTGTAACCGAGTAACAGGTTTCAGCCATAGGGTTCTCATATGGACTAATGAAGCAATGTACAGTATGTGCAGCACCTTTTAAATTCAGAAGTACTGCATAAATGCTAAGCACTTATGCACTGCTGTGTACAACAAAGATCCATCCAGAAGTAAAAAATGACTAAACTCAGGCAATAGTACATTGGGCCCATCAAGGGAAGACAAGATTCACTGGAAAAGACAAAAATGCTAGCACAAGTTGAAGGCAATAGAAAAGAGAAATAGGAAGCAAGAAATGCATTGATTAAATAAAGGAAACCCTGGCCTTGAATTTGCAAGATTTGTGCATGGCTGTAGGCCATAAGACTTTTTTTGGGGGGGGCAGGGTGTCAGCCATTCATAGGGTCTCAGAAAATTAGAAGTGAACAGACAGCACATAACAACTATACAATGAAGAAACCTCAGGCTAA